TATTCTAGAACCACACATCTAACTATGAGGCTAGGGCCCACCATAAAAATGGGACCCTCCATGTATGAGATGTGTAGTGTGAGATTATATTGATAGAGGGTTGGAATGTGTTTTATTGGCAGGTGATCCAGACTCCTAAGAAATATCATATTAGTACAAACAGAATCTCCTTTTAGGGCTATACATACCTCAGCCCAACCCATAATTTAACTTCTACCCTCTGTTATGATTTGTGGGTTTTGTAATGTTATAACTTTTGCAGCAAAGATCTGCTTAGGAAAAATTGAGGGTTTTTTTATGTTAGATTGAATCTCCTTATAATTAACATTCATACTCCGCTTTGTATTTTCTTTAGATTCATCTTACATGTATAAGTCTGCTACTTAGAAGATCTCCATCCATGGTTTTGGAAACTAGACCAAAAATGGAATTGTTTTGATCACCGTTTTTTAGGTCAAACAATCTGATCATCCAATCAAAACTTAGATCAGATGATTTTGGGATTCAAAACTAGATCGAACCCATGACCAGTTCCTAGGCCAATTGATCCAAACCATCCGGTCTAGTCCGGTTTTCAAAACCATGTCCCCATCTTAAGAGTGGCTAAGGCACAAAGGTTCACATTGAAAGAGTTGCATTAATATACGAGCCCAATGTTTTTGCTGCTTATTGGCTCAAAAATCAATGCGCTAAAAGAAATTTGGAGCTAATGAGTGATCAACATGTTAAGCTCTCAAACTCATTCAGAGTGAGCACTTCCATATATCTTATCATTATTCTTTTTAAACAAGTGAAATATGATTGATATTAGTAGAATGAAAACCTTATAGTCCAAGCCATGCCAGCTAAGGCATGCTCCTTGCCCTGACCCCTCGGCGGCACAATGCGGCCTCGGCTTAGTGACCTTGACAAGGATGGAGAACATGCTGAAAATGTTAAGGCTTTCACCTCCATTTCCTTCCCGCTAATGAAAGGGGCGCCGAGCCAGCTCTCAATGGCATAGCTCGGCCTCGGCTGAACTCCCTTAACTTAGTTTCCTAAGTGAATGTCTAAGAAAAAAAGCAGCATACCTCGGCCAGATGATCCATCACAATGTCTCGGACCTCCAACAGGCCCAAATTCGTCATGGCGAGACGATCCCCTTGAGGGATCATCCCGGTGACTAGAGCACATCCAACCCCTTTCTTGTTCATGGAGTCTCCCTCCTTCACATTCCATTGGGGTCAGAATGTACACTGCGTTACTAGTTGCGCATCGTCCGAGCCGTCGGATGATGCGTGAGGTCCTGAAGGGTGAGACCCCCCAGTGGCACCCTCGGCCGAGGGCCCCCTCGGCATGCTGCCGCCTTTGTCACCGCCCCCGAGTTGGTGGTTCTTACTAGTCAGCCTCTTGCCTCTTGGGGGCTGAGGCGGGTAAACTGTCCTCTTCTGACCGGACTCCCTTCGCCACCAGCATGCGCTTGTGGCCAAGGCATCCTCTCGGCTGGCGCCCCATCCCTCGGCACTTGTCTCCGCGATGGGCCCTCGCCCAGCGTCCTCTTCAATGACTTAGCCTTCTCTAGAAGCATCTCCTTGGTGTTGAGAGGCATTTCTATAAAAAGAACAACAAGTATGTTAGTACTTATGCACGGAAAGTAAACTAACGTGTTAAGCCGACAATAGGAGTTTTACTACCAAGGCGAGTCGGGCTGAGGCCAGCCAATACTAGAGTTGCCTCCTCCTCCATCAAGGGCTTGGCCCAGATCTTCCGTGACACCCGGATATGGGTAATGACCTTGGCCTCCTCGTCTTGAAGATAAGGGGATGCCCTTTTGACCACCAGGTTCAGCCTCCCCCAACCTGACCTGAACAACCAACCCTCAGGGAAAGAAGTGAAGAAGTACTTCTTCTTCTAGTTGTGCACAAACGATGGGTTGTCGACTACTCTACCGTGGCGGGCCTAGAAATAATATATTCCCGTCTCGTTGGGGTACGACCTTGGCACAAATATCCCACGAAAGATTTTCTTAGTCAGCTCGACACCTCGAGGCCGAGCCATCACCAACACAGTGATTATGGTTCTGACCCGTTGGGAGTTAGCTGGCTTAGGGTGATGTCGTACCACCTTAGAAGCTCGGGGATGAGTGGAGGAAGCGAAAACCTAAGGCTGATGAACACAAATCTCGCCCTCCTCTGGCAACCATGGCCGATCACTGGTGTCAGTGACCCTAAACCGAAAGTTCTTCAATATATGGTATTTCTTAGCAAGAGCCTTCACTTGATCTATGCTAAGAACGCTATCCAATTCAGAATGTTTAAGGCACTCCACAACTACCTCCCTGGGCCGCATACTCGGCCAGCGTCCTTGGACTGGGCTCGGGGACTTCCTCACCCTCAACCACCTCGAGCGACCCCAAGGCACCCTCGGCATCTCTCGGCCTTGTTGACCTAGCACTCCCCCGGGGAGAGTCATCGCCCCATCGGCTGCACTCAGCACCTACAGAGGCAATCCTCTCCCTCAATACGCAGATCTTGGGCCTCAAAGTAGGGCCCTCAAACTCGCTAGGGTAACTTTCGCTACTACTAGCCGAGGTGGTGTCACAAGATGAACTCGCTCCTGAGGGGTCAGGGAGGTCATAGAACTCGGGACCAAAGTTGGAATAAGACATGGCTAATGGTTGAAGTTTTTACCTAAAGGACGAAGTCTCGAAAAGTCTAGGGGTGAGCAAAGTTGAAGGTCAAGTTCTCTGAAGGTTCAAGCTCTTGAAGTCAAATGGTGAAGACTCAATCGACTAAGTGTCTTATTTAAGGGAAAATGGATGGCTCAGATCATCTCCGGTCCAACGGCAATGAAGCGACCGCCTTAACGATCTGAACCTACGCCCGACATGTGTTGTTGTCCTTAGAAAGATGAAATGACACTGAGTGAGTCTATCGGTGCACTCACTGAGTCAAACAATTCTTCCGACGATCCTAGGGCAGAAGCAAATCAACCCGGTTGACCCAACGCTCATCTTGCGTACAGGCACAACGCGACAACGCATCTCACATACGGTCACGACCCAACGCCCATTTTGGGCATGGACCTAACCAGTTGATGTTGAGACCCATAGCATGCACGGTCATCACCCGGCGCAAAGACCCATCTCCTATACGACACCAACTTGTCAATGATACCATCCGTCTCRTGCACAGCCACGGCATGCCCGCTGGTCACCTGTACCTCATACGGTAACCAATAGCCGAGGCCAACACCTGGCGGCCCATGCACGGGCTCATCAGCTCAACTGCAAAGCACATAACTGGAGGGCACATGCATCTTGTACCCATACCATGCACGGCACCGAGCTCCCTGAAGCCGAGATCGATGCCTCCACACTCTCGGTCCTCCATAGCTCTCTCAAGAGGTGGAACAAGTAAAACAGTTGCCACCAAGGCAAGTCAGGGAAGCCCTCTAAAGCCAAGACCGACGCCTCTGCTCTTAAAGACAAGGCTCTCCCTAGCCAAGCCAAAGCCGAGGTCCTCGCAAATGCAAGCCACTTAGTGCCTCCCAGCAAGGATGATACACTCTCTTCGGCCGAAGTCGAGGTAACCTCACATACCTCCACCACAACCTCAAGAGTGGGGGGGGGGGGCAAATGACGTAGGTCGCATGGCAAGCCCAATTGCACGCACACACGTGGCATCCTCAGAAGGCGACGCATGGCATAGGGTAGATCGCATCCTAACTGTCCACTCGTAACTAACTCTAGGTAGGTTCAAGTATAAATAAGTGGCGTCACAATGAGGTAAGACATCTTGGCATTTATTGGTCCCACCTCTCTAGCCTCCTGATGACCTCATCTAAGCTCTCTTCACTCAAGCCTCGTCCTACCTTCCTTGTTACGCCTTTACTAATTTAACCGTTAGAGTCTTCGCCCTTGGAATAACACCTGAGGCCTCTAATATACTTCTTCCTCTACAGGTCGGACTTACAAGCCCTCAGTTCTAATAGCCCTTGGACACATCAGCCAGCCCTCATCTCAGAAATGTAATTACATTATTTCCCTTCGCCCATTCCAGGCAACAACAAAATCGATCTTCTTCAATCAAAAACAACACCTACGAACACCAACCCGTACATTTCTAAACCCTCAACGCAAGCATCAAAAGAAGCTTCAAGGAATACAAAAAGTTATAATACTACAACCGATCTTCCAACATTAGTGCAATCAAACCCACAAAAGGAAAATACAAATTGAAAACCTCATAAACCCAGCTCAAACCTAGTGAAAACTACTTTATGCCAAAAATAAAAGAGATCTAATCAAACTGGATTTCTCCCACAAAACCCGAAGCTCAAAATTCTATCTTTACATCGAAAACCAAAGACCGTTGTGGGCCTTGTGGCTACTAAAGACCGTTGCCCAATAACCCTGTTTAGTTGCGTTGCCGTTTATCTGTAAAACGTTTTATACTATTTTACTCTTGAAAATCAGGACAAAACGTTTATTTATTGATTTTTTTTTGACAGCTAAGCACTAGTAGGTGTGATCAGAGAGTTGGGATCTCCAACAAAACACGTTCCAACCCTCTACCAACTTGATCTATCTCATGTAACACTAACAGATTATGTTGGTATGCTGTTGGGATGTATTTTGTTGGCAGGTGATCATTACGTGGCACATAGCCACATAAGCTAAACAGTAAAACAACGAAAAGAAACGTTTTTAACTATTGTTGCAAACTCAAATTAACAGTATTTCAGGAAAATGCCTATGTGGGCTGAAATGACACCGATTTTCCGATAAACGGCAACCAAACTCCCAGGTGGAAGTGGAATGCCAGAACATATTGATTATTGAATGAGCCGTTTACGCGCTTTCCGAATTGCAAAACAAGTAGAAGTTGTTATAATTACGATTTCTATTCCCATTCCAATATGGATATATACATAATTACGATCCTTCTCTAGATACATAGTAGACACTGCCGCTGCCGTCGTTCCAATTCATACAATTAAATCTTATTCAGTTTCTGTGTTCATAATAATCATCAATCATGGTTTTGATTCAACTGGCCGATCCACCAGTAATTTATCTTTCACCATCAGGAGATACGACGGAAACTCCGGTGGTCAGAGAAAGACCGGAGGTGTTCTTCAAGTTTTTCATTGTACAGGAATTTCTGAAGCTTGTTCCCACGGATGCGGGTGAATTCGAGGGCTTATGCCATACTTTAGAACCTGCGTATGAAGAGCTGTCTGTCAAGTTTGAAGATTTCGGATGCCAACAAACGATGGACTCACTTGTTCTGGAAAAGCTCCGTTCCATAAACAATCTGCACACACAGACATGCGAGTCTCTCCTTAAAGATATCTCCAGCTTTGGTTGTGATCATATGCCGAGCATTTGGCAGATGAAGGCAAAGAGGGTGGATTTTATTGTACGTATAATGGTGGCGACGATAGAAGTCTGTGATGAAGAAGAGGGTTCTCCTGTTATGAGAGAGTTAATACAACGATTTCAACAGGTGGGCTTAACTGATCTGTTTGAAGAGATAGAGGCATACGATGATGATGATGCATTTGAAGAGGTAGGACATCGCATGACACCGGCATCAAGCGTTTCAATCAAAGCACTGAAGAGAAAGAGGTTTGATATCGAAAGCGATTTGGTTAAAACCTGCACAATTTGTCTGGAGGACTTCTTGGAAGAGATGGAGGTTGTGAAGTTACCTTGCTCTCATGTCTTCCACAAGGAGTGTATCGTTCATTGGTTGAAGCAGAGCCATTTGTGCCCTTTATGCCGCTTTCAAATGCCTGTGGACTCGACATCACCAACTGATTCTAGGTTAATATTCTTTTTCTTTCTACTTTCTTTCTTTCTTTCTTTACTTCTCTTCAAAATTTCTCTTGGTTCGTAGAAGTCAATCAGAAAAAGCTCTTTCTTCTTTAGTTGTGGAATTTCCTTCACATGTATGCACCATGCACAACACAAGACATCTGTAGACTGTAGTCTGTGCTCTCTGTAGAGTATAGTATTAACGAATGAACGTGGAAATTGAACTATTGAAGGTTTGAAGGTTAGAGTTAGACATGACGAGTTTGCTTAATTTGGGTCCTTCGTATCTGAGCGTTTCCTCATACACACCACTTGGGTGATCCCACATCAAATTAAGGGTGGTCTACTTGTCCTCTCATCAAATTTGGACTCAAATCTAATTTTTCAAATTTTAAATTTGACGAGGATATGACTGTGTTTTTTGTTGATGGGTTAAATGGTTAATGCATATTAATCTGATGCGGACCACACATTAATTGATGTGGGATCACCCCATCGGTCTGTATGAGGAAAGCATGGTTTTAAAAACGATCCAGAAATGGAACCGTTCTGACCACCGTTTTTGGGTTTACGGTTCGACCGTCCAATTCAAAGGGATGGCCCATTCTGATAACAAAAAATTAAAAAAAAAATGATCAAAATCGTTGAACGGATCGACAGGTCGATGGTTCTACCGCCCTCGTTAATGGGTTATTGACCGATTCAATGGTTTTGACCAAGGAYCAAACTTGGGGTAAAACAGAATCGGTTGCCTGAACGATTCCCGGGTTGAATGGTCCGACCATCCAGGTCAACAGCGATTCAAAAACCATGAAGAAAAGGGAACACTCCTAGGGAAATATGGACATGTTAGCAAAATTGAGCTTTGAACTCTTGAGTTCGAATCCACTGTTTTATACTCGCAATAATGGACCAATACCGATCACAATACACCACGATTAGTTTATAACTTTATACTTATAGGTCTTACACATCATGCTGACATGGCATATCATGAATGACCATATTGTCTATATACATAGAGTCTGGATCTCCTGACCACACAAACTCTGCCCATGTCTACCCACATAACATCGCAGTCACACATGGAGATCTCATCCTCCTACATAGTATTATGTAGGGGGAGATGTTCCCAATTCACAGGGATAGTGTGTTTGTGGGTAGACATGGGCAGAGTTTGTTTGGGCAGGTGATTTAGAGTCGTATACTTAAATAGGGCATTCAATGTGGGAAACGAACCCCTACTAATCATGCCAATCATAATGGTCCTGGTTCCATAATTTTGTCCCAATTAATAAGTGGGCCAGCTCTAGTTCTTGCTTGTTCCCAATTAATTCAAACTCAGGACCAATTATTTTATTAAATATATATTATTTTTTATATTTTTTACATTGTTATCATATTTTATGTTTGAAATGATAAATTTGATAGATAATAAGTAAGATAATATTAGTTATAAATATTTAATTTATTAACATATAAATAATTTAGTATTTTTCTATCATTTTTATTAAGGTTATATTATCATAATTTAAATTTTAAGTTATTGTTTAAATAAAAAAATATAGTTTTTAGTATAAATGAATTTGTGAGGTTTGGACCCTACTTATCCTAATTAATAATCAATTCAGAACTAGTTCTACCAAGTATAATATATACTGTAATTACCTTATTTTCTTTAAGCTTTAATAATAGGCCATATTTGGTGTCATTTTTTGCTTTATACTTTCAATAGCATCAAAGTACAAAAGTACATGATATATTTTTTGTTCTGTACTTTTACTTCAAAAACCATTCAGATGAAAAATTTTCGAAAATATGTTTTTCAAAGTAAAAAAAAATGATGATGCTTTAAACCAATAAAATCTTTTATACACATGCATGTCATGTGGCATCATATATGGATGTCATGTGGTGTTTAGATGTAAATCAATAGTATGTGGATGTCATGTGGCATTTAAATATAGGTCAATAATATGTGCATGCCACATGGCATTTGAACTTAGTCAGTGATATTACATGTCACATGGCAACATAGAGCAATGTTACATGGCATGAAATTGTCACGAATCATGTTCACATGACATGTGACATTCATATGTACTACATGGCAGCATATATGAATGTACCATGACATTTGAATGCTAGATCAATGACATGTGGATGTCACATAGCATTTGAATATTGGATCAATGACATGTGGATGCCACAGGGCACCTGAAGGTAAGTCAATGATACGGTATGTCATGACATCCACATGTCACTAATTATATTAATGTATATATACTTACATGTGGCATTCATATATGCTACCACATGATGGGTGTACAAATATCACACCTGTGGTTGATGCACACATTTTATAAAATATTTCATGCTTTTTGTAATTTAATTTTATATTTTTTAAAAGTAAAAATACTCCAAACAAACACGTTGCGATACTTTTCATACTTTCATACTTTTTGAAAGTATGAAAACTAAAGTACTTTCAAAACTACTACCAAATAGGGTCATAATTAACAAATAATATTACATAGCAAAATTTGTAATAAATAGCATTTAAATATATCATTTTATATCTTAATATATCAATATTTAGTTTTAATTTTTTGTTCACTTATAAAAATATGATTTTATAGTTCTATAGTAATCTATTCCCCCAAAAATTTGTCGCCTATTAGACATCTAAAAGTTTAGGACTGACCACAAAATGGACTAAATGGGCCATAATGTATGTTTATTTTTTCTAATATAAAAGGCCGAAAATCAGGTTTAAATATAACAGTTATGCATTTGCATCTGTGTAACGTAAGATGGTGAAAAGTTCTAATAGGGAGTTTGGGGATGATAAGGTAAATGTGTATTAATAAGAATTTGTGCTGATTTTAGCACACCATACTTGTGATAAGTTGGACTGTCTAAAGTTGGGTCCATCAATGAGTTTGACCCCAATCCATTAGCCCCTTTCATGTTAATTGTTTGATAGAAACATCAAAAATCAGTTCCTCTTGTTAGTACTAGTAGGGCATGGTTTTCAAAACCGGTCCGGACCAGAAAAACTGGGAATCTGTCAGGTGATCGATTCCGTTTTACTCCATAACCATTATATTGTCAAAAACCATTCATTTGGTCAAAAAACCACTAATCCGGGCGGTTAAAACGTCCAACAGTTTGGCCTTTTTTTTTTTTTTGTCAGAATGGATCGTCCATTTAATTTAAACGATCATCGGACTGTTCAATCCAGGAACCAGACCCCTAACCAGTTCGTTGTCCAATTCGGTATAGGGCTCTCATCTGCTAGGTGAAGTGAATGTTTGGCTTCACATAAGGAATCTGAAAAAGAAGTATTTGTGGCTTCTGTATAATGAAATGTCATTACAGTAATATATGAACAAAATAGATTTTTGAGATTATTTAAGAAACTAGCATCTTTACCTGTTGTTAGTAGAAGAGATTATTTGATTTCAAGTAATAAATTTAAAATCTTCACCTATTTGTTTTAAGTAGAGAAATCTTGGGGAAATGGGTTATATGAGGATTTATAATACCATAATGGAAATCAAACCCAAAAGAACCAACGAGAAGCTCTCTTCCCACAAGAATTAAAACTTCTGTTTCACATTTCAGAAGAAGATCCTCAGATTTAACTGCGTAGAACCCAAAAACCTGTAACTAGGAAAATCCTATAAGAAACTCCCTTGTAAGGATTGGAGTCTTTTACTTGAAAAAACAATACAATCCTAAATCATATACTTACAAACAAAAAAAGAAACCAATGCCTTGTTTCCTAAGAAAATTCAAGAGGTTTAGTGACTTGCCTTGAAAGTTGAAATACAAAGCAAATAGAAATCCCAACAAAATCCTATATGCTTTATGTTAAAGACTTGTTAGGAGAGATGAGGTTTTTGAATATGCCTTGTTTCCTTTAATTACTACAAAAAAGGGTGCATCACGCAACGGTTAGAAAGGAGAAACTTGAGCCCTTTATGTGGCCTTGAATTGCCTGCCAATTCAGCAATTATATCCTATAATTACCAGGCCCTTCTGTTATCATCTTCTTTATTATTATTATTTTACTTTTTGTCTTTATTTCATTTAGTGGGTGGGAGAAAGTTCTATTAACAATTTTGTTTGGTTGCTGAAACATGTAAGCAACATTTCCTAGAAGACAGCCTATGTTTGTCTTATTTCAATTCATACAATTCAAATGCCCCAACTTTTTTTTTGTCTAACCTTGTGAAATACTTGAGATATAAATCTGTTCTTCTTAGTTATGAGAGTTCGAGTGTAACATCACCCAACATAGAGAAAAAGAACCCAAAAGGGAAATTAGCTTGTTGAACAGGCCCTTATTCATGAATAGAAATAAAGTTACTGGTTAGCCTAGAGACCATGGAACCAAGTTTAAAAAGTGAGCAGCTCCCTCATTCACAAGGGTTTAGAAAAACTCTGTTGCTTCCTCTGCAGTAGTGTTTTATTAATGATCTAATTTCTTGTCCAAGTCATCCACAGGATCGATTTAAGTTCATTCTCTTCCAATTTTATCAGTTCTGCTGGTTTATTAGCACAACAGAGGTCCAGAGCATATTTCTTTACAAGGATGAAAGTGGAGCACTGATAGGTGAAGATAATTTTTATGATATGGGCCCATTTGTTTTTTGATAGAAAAACCATAGACCATTTTATCTAATTTCAAGTGTAAATGAAGATTTGAGTTTCTTTGGAATTTACTACAGAATGAAGGCATAAAGAGAAATTATTAACAAGTGCTAATACAAGAAAATAAACAATTTCAAGGAATGGTTGCACCCTCACATGCTAAAACTATAGGCTTTAATATATTAAACTTTCTGTTGACTAACATAATCAACTCAACTTGGGTTGAGTGTGAAATGGTGTTCTCCTTAGTGGGCTAAGCACTAAAAATTGACAAAAGTAACTGTCACCTGAGCTCCCTCCCTTCTTCCTCGTCCTTGTCATCATCAACACTTCCCTTTGCCAAACCAAATTCAAGGGTGATGTCAAGAAAATAGAGCAAGAAAACCAGGGAAAGGCAACACAAGAACATGGGTATAGGCCCAAAGATCCACAGAAATAGAGGAAAAGAGAAGTAGAAGGCACGCAAGCCAAGAGACCAGAAGTAGCTGCCCCTGTTCATGGCCCTCCCTACATACTCTGTCATCAGATGGGCTGATGTAGAAGGGATCTTCTTGATGGGCACATTGATAAGGATGCTTGCGTGACTGTAGTACCGAATGGACTGCACATTCAAGAGGAAAGCCACTAGGAAGCAGACCAAGATTGAGAAGAACTTGATTGAGAATCCAAGCTGGCTCTTGTCACCATAGACAAACCCAGATGGCTGAGCATTACTGTTGCTCATTAACACTGCAATGAGGGAGCTTAGCATGATTGCTGTCGATGCCAACAGAGTTGATGCCATTATGTTGTTTCTTAGCGTCTGTACAGCAAGAACGCCATTCTTGGACATATCCTGACATCCATGCAAAAAACCAAGTTAGCATTTTGGCTCTGATTTTGTGAATATTGCACCTTATGCTTGCGGATTTGAAACTCTAAATGCAGAAAAAAAAATGCTATACTATTTCACCATGTTATGTTTTAAATGCAAAATTTACAAACAAAAGTACTTACTTCCATCATGGTTCGAACCCAAATGCGCCTGTTGATGGCATTGATGCCTATGACTGTCTTTGTAGGATGCTTTAAGATCCGATAGAGGAGCCAGATGTGGTAAGCTACCATTAGCAGAAGACCCGACGGGACAAGAAAATAATCAAGAACTTGTTTCTTCATTGCTGCTGCAAGGAAACACTACTTAGAGAGCATTGAAGGAAAGCTATCGCAAAGGGGGGAGTGAGAGCCCTTATATGAAGCCTGAAATTAAGTGAGACAGGCTGAGACAGAGAACATGGGAGTCGAATGGCTGTTTTATTTTGATTTGGATTACTTCTCTCTTATTTGTAGAATAATGTAAAGCTCAGATTGTGGGGATGTTGAATGGAATTCATACGTGTAGAAGCAGGCACTTTAAATTACGACAGCCGCCTAAACCTACCCGCTATAGAATAGAAGAAGACTAAGCAGTAGGCACACCACACCAATCCTTTGGTTTTTACCTAAACAATTGAGATAAAACAAATGAACCGATTAAATGCACGCGCAGTAAACAATTGACTTTTGCTTAAACTATAAATAAACTAAAGAACCAATAAAAACAAACCATAACAAATTCTGGGTTTCCAATTAAAAAGGCTGTAAGCATCAGATTCTGAGGAATTTTGGGTAGATGTGTTATTTTAATAAGAATTAGAAGGAAACAGAGATAGCATCGAGAGACCACGATAGGATGTAACCTGTAAGTTCAAGGTGGAAGGTAGGATCCTTGAAGAATGATGAAACTTCTGACAAAGGCACAAAGCAAATTCCTCCTATATGTCAATGTTGTCCGTGTCTCATCATTCTGAGTCACAAGTAGAATTGTGTGGATGGTCAGATAATGGTCCAAATCGGTAGCACTAGCAAATAGGGAATGGCTGAAAAGCCTGAAACCATTATTATATTTGAATTTGCAATAACTAGGGGTGGAGAAAAAAAATAATAATGATGAAAAGACTTTCAAGATGTAGTGCAACTGCAAATGGCAGAAAACTGGCAAACCCCAATCTCATAAACCAGGCCAAGAATAAAATACCTGTGCCCTAAGCAGCTACGCTATTATTACCATGTTGGTTGGTTCCTCACCTCCGTATCTAAGTCCTGCTCTTCCAACTTCCACCCAGAGAAAATCTTCAACTGAATTCCGTTCGCTTCTTCCTCTTTGAAGATTCTCTGGGTTTTATATTTAACAAAACGAATGAGTAGACGATGAGATGGGAAATTTGGGAAGAAAGATTGTTTAAGAGATGAGTGAGAAAGGAAGGAAGAAACGAGTGGTTTGGGTTGTACATTTGTAGAAAACCCCCACTGGTGTTGAGGGATGTGTGCATTTGTAGAAACGTGAAACAGAATCACGCCATCACGGGAGAGAGCGAGATGTGTGGGGACTAAGGAAGTTTCAAATTCTATGTATCTGTCATGATTTATCGTGGTGATGAAACATGGAGACAGTTAGGATCCTTTTTGACTATTGACCGGTGTCGATGATCCAGACCGTCCATCACCATGTGCAAATTGCTCAAGTGCATAAATGGACAAATGGCCCACCTGTGATTAATTGACCAGTTTTTATTTATTGGAGGCAAATATCCACGTGGCCAAATCACCACCACTTGACCCCACCCACCGTGATTTTGACTCAAGAATATGAATACAAAAATCAATTCAAACCATCTCGTTACAAAACAAATTTGTTTCTTTAAACAAAGCTACGGAAAACATGTTCTTTGTTGCAACTTGTAAAAATGCGTTTAAATTGAAAAAAAAAATGTAACAAAAAAAATAGACGTCACTAATGTATTAGTGTAATTAATGTAAAAAAATAGATTTAATTAATGTAATTTCTATGCAAAAAAAACTACTTTAAACTCTCCACATTTTATAATAGTGTTGAACTATCTTGACTGCTTCTTCATTATCATCAACCATGTAATGTAAACAAATAAATATTAAATTAATTCATAGGAATAGTTCAACTAGACCAATTATTATTAAATGTCATTTACCATGATCTAAGTAATTCTTCCTCTGTAGTGAAGGAATTGAAAGACAATCTCGTATTCTTTACAATTGTTATAATTTGACATGTAGTCAAATTCTTTAATGTAAGAGAAAATTATATTATTTTTATTTTTAAGTCTATCAAAATATAAAATTACCTTTATAATGCACCGCTTTTACACAATTTCCAATAATAATTGTAAATTCTTCTTTTATTTCTCGAACACGTGATTCAATAACATCAACAAATATATCCCATAAAGTGAACCTCATTGGACCAATCTATAAAAAAACAAATAATCATATTTAAAATGATGTTAATTAATTAAATAATACTTATTGATGGTGCACAATCCGGTCATTCCTAGCTGGCACTGGTGTGGCTCCTGAAAGGTACCTGAGATGGAAGAAGATGAAAAATCCTCGGGAGCTTGCCCAACGAGAACACTCCGATGCTTAAGTTAGTATTCTGTGGAAGAAGCAAGGAGAGGATGAAGGCTAAGAGTGCAGATAGCGTGAGTGATAGAAGATACCCCTGTTCTTTGAGAATAGGCTCCTTATAGCAGAATTTCGTTGCATCAGGCCCACTGGCTTCTGACAGGGCAAGTATAACCGCCACTGTCAGCCTGCTGCAGCCGTTACAGGCAGGGCTGAGGTGGCACGTGCGGGGCCGTCACTACAGGGTACATGCTTGTCAGGTGTAAGGCACCCTCTAAAGGTGGCAGGCACGACACTGTCTGATGAGGGACGTGGTTGCTGTCCCCAGATTTGTCGGGTACGGTGGTCGGGCAGGAGATTTCCCGGGTCGCGTTCAATTTAAGCGCGGATGTCACGCGGTTTGGACTTTGCGGACGCCAAAAAATGCGCTAAATTGATTTCACCTCGAGGAACCCGTAGCCGGTTTTTTTGAGTCGTTGGATCGTCTCCATCTTGACCGTTAATGCTCGGGTGCAGCGGCTATAAATAGTGGGGGACCCTTGGCCATTTCTTCGCCACAAAGTCTCCAGCGTCAGTGTTGAGATCGCGTCAGAGGTTCCCAGCTCGGGTCTTCTAGCTCGGTTTGTTCCCCTAGTCAGTTCGCGTTTCCTGTGGTGAGTCCTCGAGCTTCTCTTTCTTTTCCGAGTACTCTTTCCCTTTTGTCTTGCAATGTCGTCTAGCGTAGATAGCCCCATCGATGAGCCTGAGGTGGGTACCTCAGCTCAGGGTGGCTTCTCTGCCGCCCAGTCGTCTAATGTACAGGCGACTTCGGGTCATCTGGCATCCACCTCCCACCGAGGTCAGGTGCCAGATCAGTTCGACCCTTCCACCATGACTCCAGAGAGGCTCCAGGACCTCATACAGAGGTTCAACCTCCCTGGGAATATTCATACAATCTTCCTACTGGCAACTTCCCATGGGAGCACGGTCTTGATGAGATCGTGGTCTTCAGGGAGCAATTGGTAGCCGGACTCCGACTTCCTCTTCACCCCCTGATTGTTGAGGTGCTGGTGCACTTTAACATCACTTTGGACCAACTTCACCTGAATTCCATACGGAATGTGGTTGGGACCATTTCTCTTTGCTTTGATCGTTCTCTCTCCATTGACCTAGACGTCCTCAACACTATCTTGGCCATAAAGAAGAGTGCTTCGGGCACTCTCCCTAGGCACAGACGGGCTTATTACCTGTCTCCCCGCCCGGGTTTTAAGCTAATGCATAAGCTCCCGAGTAAAGTCATGGCCTGGAAGTGGGACTACTTCGTAGTTCGGAGCAGCACGGGGTGGCCCTTCCCTACTGACTGGAGGGTGGCCGTTCAAGATCCCGTTGTCATCCTTGATGGGAAGACCAAGAAGGCACTCCAGTCGTGGGCTCAGCAAGGGTTAAATTACAAGGACTTCACATCTGAGGAGAAGCTCATCCAGGCCGGCTTGAGCCCGGGTAGGTTTATCTTCACTTCGGATTTTTTGTCCATATATTTACTTCGGGATTACTAACGTCGAGCTTCACTACAGATCCCATGGAGGTAGAGAAGATTGATGGTCAAAGGCTCTTCCGCCAAATGAAGAGAAAGAAGCACGTAGCCAAGAAGGCACGCGTTGACTTTCCGTAGGTCTCCGCCAAGGCTCAGCCTCCACAGGCTCCGGCTCCAGAGCTCGAGCTCCCCTATCCTCAACCCGTCATCAACCTAGAGGGGGACGCGGTGCCTTAGGGTCCTGAGATAGCGGCATAGCCCACCACAGAGCCTGTCGAGACTGTTGTCAGGGGTGATACAGGAGCCACCCCTGGGGCACGCCCTGCAGAGGCTACAGTCAGGGCCTGCCCTGCTGATATCGCTGTTGAGGCTTCCAAGGAGTCCGCCCATGCGGCGGAGGTGACCGTGTCTAGCTCGGAGAGCTAGGGGGTGAAAGTATTCTGAACCCCTAGTGCAGTCTTCAAAAGAGTAAGGAAGCTGCTTATCCGGAGGAGGTCACCGAATGGGCTGATCTCACTCCCGGTCAGCTCGGTGCCCGAGCTGCCATGCATACCATGGTGGTGAATTCCTCGTGAAGGGTTCTCTTCTCCCCTGTTATGGGCCCGCGCGTAGGATCTCGTCACGGGTTGGTCCACGGGGAGGAAGGCCTGCTTTCCCTTGCGTGCAGAACCTATTGGGGAAAACCGAATGGGTGATTTGTCCAAGAGACCACCCGAACTCTCCTAATGGGTGATTTGTCCAAGAGACCACCCGAACTCTCCTTACTCTTCTCTTGACTGGGAAAAATGAATGCCTTTATTTCAATTCGTGGCTCCTTAAATAGAAGATTACAGAAGGAAATTCCTAATTAAACTCAAACTCCAACTTGAACTCAAACTCCTAATTACCTACTCCTAATAGTAACACAACTCTTACTTAAGATAAGATAAAGATAAGGATAAGGGATGAGGAATGGTGTAGCTGGTGCCGAGTTGGCGGGCAGAGCTCATGTGGTAAGATAAGTGTGGGCCCACCCTGATGAGTTGTCATGTGGGCCCCGCCCTACTACTGCTGTCGGGCAGTGTGCGCGTCTCGCAGTGCTGCTGCTGTAAGGAGCATGTTGCTACCGTGCGGTGCGTGCTGTTGCCGTGTGGTGCATGCTGCACGCTGCCGGGTGCGTGCTACGCGCTGCCGGGCGGTACGTGTTGCGCGCTGCCGGGTGGTGCGTGTTGCGTGCTGACCGG